GCACTCTTGGTGTGGTGAAAATGGGTGGGAATTGTGGTATGGTGAAATTTTATCAGATTTCAGCGTGTGCCCAGATGAATAAAATTTAAATTCAATGTTCAATTCATATTACACGGTCAAATGAATAATCGTGCACGAGATTACGCGCGCCCTAATATTACGAGCAGCTAATGACGGTTGTATCGTCGTCACTTGAGTGTATCACCGAGAAAAGCTCTTCGAAGACCCCCGAGAGCCTAAAACTCGGAATACTCTGTATATACAAAGTCTGGATCCCAATGTGTTGCATTGGTGACAACATATTGCGTATGCGTCAAAGTTAATGTTGAAAATTTGGGAATTTGTATTTCAGTGATATATTCCGCGACTCCGGTATTGGTCGTATTGTAGGTTGCTCGAGAGTTGTGTCCACCACGATCGGCATCGTTATGAGATGGGAAGGTATATTTTGTTCCATGGTGTTGGTGATCGGTTTCGTATGTTGCATTGAAGATGAGGTTTGAATCATCATGGACTCAACGTTTAGGGCAATGTTTTGGGATAGTGGTGTGTTGGGTTCTAGGGTGAATCGAAATTGGGTTATACCACTCCTTTCGGAATTGGTCTGATTTTGTTAGATGGTGCAGTGTGAGCCGTGCATGGGTGTTGTATCAGAGATTACCCGAATATGGCAGGTGGGAGTTTGATCGACGTGTTGGCCCCAGTAGCCAGCAAGAGACCGTCCAAGAGGGCGTTGATGGCGGCATCGGACTGGCTGCTGAAATTATGCAGTTTGCCAGTGGCGACTCGCAATTCTCTGCCGATCGTGGTGGACGTTTTTGATCTGCTCTCACGAAATCGGACGGTGTCGGCTCGCCTGGCGGATGTTGTGGGACACTGGGTGACGAGGGAATGCGCACAGCGAAGATTTCCGAGTAGAGTATCTTTGGATTTGCTGGTGGCTTATGCGGGAGTTGATCAAAGACATGAAGTTTTACTGAATTTTTTAGCGGAAAATCTTTGTAGTGAGTTTGCATTGGAAGGATTTGGCGAAATTGAGGTATGTTCGTTGGCGGCGGCGTTTGCTCGATTGGAATATATGCATGAGGCTTGTTTAATATGCATTTTACGGTTTGTAAATAATAGAGTGTTTGGGCTTAGCTGGCGGACATATGCTGTAATCTTACACGCGTTCGCTACGTTACGGTATCGGCCAGCAGAGGAAAATCCATTGAGATGGGGAGGTCGATTGAGCTGGTTAAAGGCTCGGGATTATTCGACGATTTTATGGGCGTGTGGTAGCCTGCAGTGGAAAGTGGATGAGCGAATACGAAGGAGGTGTTTGAAGGACCTGAGTTCGGATAATCGGAATATTTCACCCATCGACGTTTATAGTATTTTGACGTCTTACGCGTATGATATAAATATGGTGGATTTGGCAACGGTGATAGATATTGCTGTGGGGAAAAGATACACGCCGTCAGCTATGCTGAGTCGACAGCTCGCCGCCTCGATTCTGGCGAATACGGGTGTGATTATGATGTTGAAATTGGATGCACTTAGAGTTGTGTGTAGTGTATTGACGACGTATGAGTGTGACAAGAAGGAAAGTATTAGTAGTGGTGCTGAGGGGCGAGGTTCGTAATACGCTGGATCGGCTTGGCGGCATTGGGAGCATTGAAACTGCTAAGGTGCTATGTGGTATTCTGTGGACATC